GTTCGACGTGCTCCGGCAAGTGGACCAGCTGTTGGCCGCCGTCTGCGAGGCTGTGGCGCGCGCGCCAGCGGCAGCCCACGCTGTGGCATCGCTCGGGCGTGTGCATTTTGTTCTTGCGGGGGGCGAGGGCCGTCGAGTACTCCAGATTTCGTAATAAAGGGAGGGGGGTCTCATTTCGGGGGGGGTCTCTTCCGGGCTATCTTGGAGGGCCTGGGGGGGTCTGGGGACGATGTTTTGGAGGGTTCTCCCACGGGGGACGTCTGAAATGGCTTGTCTTGAAGGGTTCAGACCCCCTCCCTTTTATTACGAAATCTGGAGTAGCCTCCTGGATCATCCCGCGAGCAAGAAAAAATACGCGCACGACAGCGAAGAAGGCACGGGGCAGGAACGTCCGAGCGGTGGCGAGCACGGGGGGGGCCTCAGCCGGCAGGTCGTTCCGACGAGTTCCGTGGAACGAAACGGCGTAAACGTACATGTTACGACGGTTTTCGCGGATGTTTTCGGACCTGCGCTGGACCCCCCTTTTGGCGGCGCCTGCGCCCCTGGCGCGCTCCGCGCGCCAGGGAAGCGGGCCCAGTACAGAATCTAGTATGTCCGCACGGGCCGTCGAACATGTACGTTTACGCAGTTGTTTGTTCCTGGGGGTATGTTTGCCTCAGTCAAGGCGTGTTTCGTCCATGTCGGCACTTCGCAGGGGCCGCTATCGAGTCATCATCATCCAAAGTGCATCCAGGACGGGGAACTACCTCCAGGGAAAGGGTTGGAAGCGCGCGCGCGCCAGCGGCAGCTCACAGGAGTGGCAGCTTTCCAAGACCCCTCCGCGTCGTGGCAAATATCACGGCATGAGGTTTTTCTTTGCATTTGTTTGGCCCCCGGCTTCGGCGGGCCCCGCGGGGCCTTCCAACAACGGCCCGCGATGAAGCGCAAGTCCGAGGGAAGGGGTTAGAGGCCTCCCAACTAGGGTCCGAGTAGATGGGGTCGGAGAATGGCACCGAGTCCCTGATGCATCACCGATGCATCGGCCATGCACCGGCGACGTCGACGTGGAGAACATCGGGCTCCACATCGAACCGCATCCGTGATGCGGCGCGATCCTCCGACCCCATCTATTTGGACCCCATGCATCTGGGTGGCCTACAGGAGTCTGACCCCGCTTTCGTTGGCCGCACCCCACTCGAAGGGCTTCGAAGTGGGCGTCCAAGGCCTTTGCATCCTCATCGCGCATTCTTGCGATACGGGCCGACTGTAGGCCCAGTCGCCAGGTATCCCGGTCCAGCGCCGGCTTGGCTCAGTTTGTGATGTTCCAATTTATCTTAGCTTGAATCTCAAAGATTGGCTGACGCGGTTTTGGGAAGCCCCCAGACCGAACATTGCAGGTGTGCTTCCTCCAGACTGGCCGAGTCAGGCGTGCGCTGGGCCGGGCCAGTATCGCCCAGGCCCCACGCGCGCGCGCTCCAGCGGTAGCTCACAGGAGAGGCCCCAATCTCTCCTCCTCCTCGCTTCCTCCTCCTCCTCGCTTCCTCCTCCTCCTCCTCCTCCTCCTCCTCGCTTCCTCCTCCTCGCCTCCTCCTCCTCCTCCTCCTCCTCCTCGCCTCCTCCTCCTCCTCCTCGGCTCGGGGGCCTCCAGACGGTGCGGTGACCACGCCGCGCGGTGAGTCCAGGGGGGATCTGCGCGGTCGCCGCGCGGCTCTGCAGTCCTGGGACTTCCAGGTCCGTGCCTCCGCGGGGACGCCCCCGGGCGGCCGCGGGCCTCCACATGAAGGGTCCGGGGCCGGGCGGCATCGGGACCGCGCGGGGAGGCTAAAACGACGCGAAGATCGGGACAACATCGGATCGGGATAACTCGGAATCTCTGAGAATCGGCGGGTCTGGAGGATGTGTTGGGCGCCGCGGCCGTTCCAGAGCGTGCCGGGACGCTCCGAGAGCGCTCCGGGACGCTCTGGAGCGATTTGTCCCGATCCTATAGCCCTGTTTTAGAGGCTCCATTGCGAGGTCACCACGCGGTCCGTCACCACACGGGCTTGGGCCCCCCGAGGCTCGGGTTGGACGAGAGGGGGGGGGGTTTGGGAAAGGGGGGGTTACGAAATCTGCCGCATGCAGCTGGTTTCGGCCTCGGCGAGGGGCCCATTCCACGATGCATAGCCGCCTCCGGCGCCGGGAGGCGCCAGGAACATCAGCTACGTGAGCTGATTCTCAACCCCCATTTTGCTATCCCCCCCTTTCGCCCGACCCGAGAGGCTCGGAGGGGGGGGGGGGGCAGGAGTTTTCGGTACAGTTTTGTCGAGCGTGTGCGGAGGTCGGCCGACGTCTGCGAGGCCCGGGGGTGGTTGCCAGCAGCTGCGCCGCGTCGAGGGGAAGATGCCCGGGGGGTGCCCCCGAGCCGACCCGCGGGTGGCCGCCGGAGCCGTACCCCCCCCCCAAACCCGAAATCGGGGTCTTCGGGTCAGGTACTCCAGATTTTGTAATAAAAGGGAGGGGGTCTCATTTCGGGGGGGGTCTCTTCCAGGCTATCTTGGAGGGCCTGGGGGGACCTGGGGACGATGTTTTGGAGGGTTCTCCCACGGGGGGGGTCTGAAATGGCTTGTCCTGGAGGGTCCAGGCCCCCTCCCTTTTATTACGAAATCTGGAGTACGGGTTGTCTGGTAGGCGCCCACCTCTCTCGAGTGGGGGATGGGGGGGCGGCGCGAGGGCCCGAGGAGCACCGCGCACCGCCGGGCGCGAGTGGCACGACGTCGGGCGATCCGGGCGGCCTGCGGCGACCCGGGCATGTCCTGGCCTTTGGCCTCAAGCTGGGCCTGTCCCTCTACAGGAGGAACATTCAAAAGTACTCCAGATTTCGTAGTAACAGGCAGGTCCAGCGCAGGTCCGAAAACATCCGCGAAAACCGTCGTAACATGTACGTTTACGCCGTTTCGTTCCACGGAACTCGTCGGAACGACCTGCCGGCTGAGGCCCCCCCCGTGCTCGCCACCGCTCGGACGTTCCTGCCCCGTGCCTTCTTCGCTGTCGTGCGCGTATTTTTTCTTGCTCGCAGGATGATCCAGGAGGCTACTCCAGATTTCGTAATAAAAGGGAGGGGGTCTGGACCCTCCAGGACAAGCCATTTCAGACCTCCCCCGTGGGAGAACCCTCCAGAACATCGTCCCCAGGTCCCCCCAGGCCCTCCAGGATAGCCTGGAAGAGACCCCCCCCGAAATGAGACCCCCTCCCTTTTATTACAAAATCTGGAGTAGTCAAGAACTAGTCGGGAGGCGATGTTTCGATTATTTGGATTCTGTCTTGAACATGTTGAGACTATGTTTGACCTCTCATTCAACATCCGCCTGCAAGAGGACATGCCCGACCTAATCCTGGCCAGGAGAAGTGCCTGCAGTGTCCGCGCCGGTGTCCAGCACCACTTTGCTTCGGATGCATCTCCTTGGGAGGTTACATTTGGGAGGTCACATTCCCAGACCCCTTCGGCTCATGGAAGAATCGCGACGGGAGGTCCTTCTCTATTTTCTGCCTTTGGAGGCCCTCACTGAACAAAAGTCACGACGGGAGGTGTTTTCCCTATCTTTGGCCTCTGGAGGCCCTCGCTGGGCCTCGGGACAGTCACAAAACGACTCGGGATGGGAAGCCAGTCACGGGGAGCGGGTCGAGACCTCTGGGGGTCGGCGTCATGAAAGAATGATGACGTCGGGGATTTGGGATGCAACTTTCGGGAGGTCAAATTCGGCACCGGCGCTTTTGCAGCAGTGGTTGCAGACCGGGTGATTTTGGCATAGTCCCGATGGTATTTATGTCGCCCAATCCAGCTCAAGCTTGCTTTCTGCTGGGCTGGATCGGAGCAAATCTTGCTCAACGTTTTTGTTGTTAAAATCTGGCCTGACACCCTTTCATCGTCCATACGAAAACCTCCAAGAAGTTGCCTCCTAACATGCACATAACCTATCGAGCGTCACCATCCGCGACCAGCGCAAGTTCTTCCGCACAAAGAAGCAATATGTTTTCAGGCATCGGGTAATTACCGGTTGCGCTGAATCATGCTGGTGATGACGAGAACGACGAGAAGGAGGAGAAGGGGAGGACAAGGGGGTGAGAGGAGGAGGAGGAGAGGAGAAGGGGGGAAGGGAGGGAGGAGGAGGAGACGGAGGGGGATGGGGAGGAGGTGGAGTGCAAACCCAACATGCATGTATGATGCTGCAATGAATCTTCCCTCATCCAAGTTCCCTCTTCATAGAGCCTAATAGCTGGTTATGTTACATGTTCATCTCTCGAAGTGGCCAATTAGAGGACAACAGTCTGAGAGGCCTCAATCGTGCCAGAACTGTTCATGGGATTTCGACGACACGGATAAACCTTTCTGTTGCGTTATGACAATCCAAATCCGCGACAGAACAGTCGTGGGACTTCAACACCGCGAATATCAGAATCACAGTTGCGTCCCGGCAATCCAGTGTCATTGCATTCCTGGGACTCCGACCATACAATTGCTCAACTCTTGCGCTAATGTTTAAGGCGTGCCTGCGCGGCGCCAAGGCGAGAGCCATTTCTTGGACAAGGGCACGCCCTCCATCCCTGAAAGTGTCTTGGACTTTGACAACGAGTGTGCGCCGCGCTGCGGCGAGGGTGACAGCTTGACTCCCCGAGCGACCCGCCCCCCACGCGTGCAACCTCCGCATACTTTCGCGCCATGACTCTGCGCGATGCTCCGCGCGAGAGCCACACGCCGTGGAGAGGACCCGCCCTCCGCCCGCGACGCTGCCTCGAGCCTCCGAGACGAGCGTGCGCGGCGCTGCGGCGAGAGCCACACGCCGTGGAGAGGACCCGCCCTCTGTCCGCGAGGCTGCTTCGTCCTGCGAGCTTCGGGGGGCCAGAACTCTTGAGGAGGTCGCGGGCGACACGCCGTGCCCGCCCCTGGAGGTGCGGCAGGGAGGAGTCGTTTGTAGGGAAAGAGGGTGCCCGAGGGGGAGGAGGAGGAGGAGGAGGAGGGGAGGAGGAGGAGGAGGAGGAGGAGGAGGAGGAGGAGAGGAGGAGGAAGGAGGAGGAGAGGAGGAGGAGGAGGGAGGAGGAGAGAGGGGGGAGGAGGAGGAGGAGGAGGAGGAGGAGAGAGAGGAGGAGAGGAGGAGGAGGAGGAGAGGAGGAGGAGAGGAGGAGGAGGAGGGAGGAGGAGGAGAAGGAGGAGGAGGTGAGGAGGAGGAGGAGGAGAGGGAGGAGGAGGAGGATGGAGAGGAGGAGGAGAGGAGGAGGAGGAGGAGGAGGAGGAGGAGGAGGAGGAGGAGGAGGAGGAGGAGGAGGAGGAGGAGGAGGAGGAGGAGGAGGAGGAGGAGGGGAGGAGGAGGAGGAGGAGGAGGAGGAGAGGAGGAGGAGGAGGAGGCGGGGGAGGAGGCGAGGAGGAGGAGAGGAGGTGAGTGATGTGAGTGAGTGAGTGAGTGAGGGAGTGAGTGGGAGGGTTGGTGGGTGGGTGGGTGGGTGGGTGGGTGGGTCGATGGGTCGATGGGTGAGGGGGCGGGCGGGCCGGGCGGGCGGGCGGGCGGGCGGGGCGGGCCGGCGGCTGGGCGAGTCAGTGTGGGTGGGTGGGTGGGTGGGTGGGCGGGCGGGTGGGCGGGTGGGTGGGTGGGTGGGCCAGATTTGGTCTTACCCAAGAGACGCTAGAAGTATAATCGCTCCGGGCGGAGCGCCTCGCAGCTTTCGCGTCGCCAGGAGAGCGAAGCGGCGGAAGGGCTCGGATTCGGATCTCCAGGAGCTGTGTAGGCTCCCTGGTTCTTCCTTGGTCTTGCCTGTGCTAGGCTCGTTCGGCATCGACGCACGGCCCGCTCCAGCGCAGCGAAGGCGAAGTAGGAGGAGGAAAGCCAGGAGCGCCACCACGAGATGGACGAGCGGACGGCTCGTCGCCTTTGTCGTCGGCCGACGACCGACGGTCGACGCCCGCTGGACGACGACGACGACGACGACGACGACGACGGCGACGACGACGACGACGCCGACGCCGACGACGACGACGCCAGCGTCGACGACGACGCCCACGACGACGACGCCGACGACGACGCGCACGACGCTGCCGACGACGACGCCGACGCCGACGACGACGACGCCCACGACGCCCACGACGCCGACGACGACGACGCCGCCGACGACGACGCCCACGACGCCGCCGACGACGACGCCGTCGCCGACGCCGCCGCAGACGACGCCGACGACGACGACCACGGGGCGGCGGAGGGCCCGCCCCGCCCTGGGCTCCCAGGTCGGCAGCGCCGGCTGCACGCGGCCAGGGGTGGCCTGCCGCGCGCGCGCGCCGCGCCCGCCGCCGCCGCCCTGGCCGCCGTCCCGCCTCGCCGTGGCCGCCAGGCAGGGCTGCCGCCTGTCCGAGCGGGCGCGCCTCGGCCCTCGAGGGACAGAGAGAACATCTCGGCGGCGGCGAGGTTCGAACGTCGCGGCTCGAGGTCCGAGGCGACGAAGAAGAAACGCCAGAAACAGATTTGCGGCACGCCACGCGGATTTCTTAGGGGATCCGCGCGGGGCCCCCCCAGCGGCGCCGCCCCTGGCGCGCTCCGCGCGCCAGGGAGGGGGGGACCAGCGCGGATCCAGGGAATCCGCGCGGAGCGCCAAAAGATTATGTTCATGGCGTGTTTTCTTTTTCAATCGAGGCGGTTTGTAATAGGTTGCGGCTTCAGGGAGCTGTTTTTGGGGCCCGTGGCCCCCCAAACTCGATCTGGGGTTGAGGCCGCGTCGGTTGGACCCCGGTAGGGGGTCTGGGGACCCATTTGGATCGGAGGAGGAGGAGGAGGAGGAGGAGGAGGAGGAGGAGGAGGAGGGGGAGGAGGGGGAGGAGGGGGAGGAGGAGGAGGAGGAGGAGGCAACCCGCCTCTCGGGGCCTCGTTGGATACTTTCGGGGCGTTCCTGGGCACTCAGTGGGCCGTCTTGTGGCCCCGTCTGGGGGCACCACAGGGCCCCTTTTGGGCCTCTCTTGGGCCATCTTGAGGCCTCAAGAGCGCATCGGAAGCGAAAAGGCGAGAAAGCAAACATTACTTATTTGTCGCAGGTGTTTGAAGGATGTTGACCTCTTGGGGGGTTGCCTGACGGGCGAGAGCACTGGGAACTGTTTTGTGGCCGTCGTCTGACCTCTTACAGGTATGTCCGACGCTGTATTGAACCATCTTCGGCTATCTTGAGCCATTCTGGAGGCCATCTTGGCGCATCGGACGCCCTCTTGGGCCATCTTGGGCCATCTTGGACGCTCTGACCGACAGCGGCCCGCCCCAAAAATCCTCGGGGAGGGGAGGGGGAGGGTAGAGGGTACCCCCTCCACAAAGGGAAAGAGGGGCTTTGGAAGAGGAGAGAACGATATCGCTAGATCACCCTGGCCCAAAAGGGCTGCTGGATTCTGGGTAATTTCTCGGAGGTCCGCGCGGATTTCTCGGATCGGCTCTGGGCACCCCCCTGGCGGCGCGCCGACCCCGGGGCGCCTCGCGCCCCAGGTGGGGTGGGGTGCAGCGCCGATCCAAGCAATCCGCGCGGACCTCCGAGAGGTTCGGTTCGTGTCTCTCGTTCTTCCAGGAGGAAGGAGGGAAGGGGGAGGGGAGGGGAGGAGAGGAGGAGGAGGAGGAGGAGGAGGAGGAGGAGAGGAGGAGGAGGGAGGAGGAGGAGGGGAGGAGGAGGAGGAGGAGGAGGAGAGGAGGCGGAGGCGGAGCGGAGGCGGAGGCGGAGGCGGCCGGAGGGAGGAGGAGGAGGAGAGAGAGAGGAGGAGGAGGAGGAGGAGGAGGAGGAGGAGGAGGAGGAGGAAGGAGGAGGAGCAGGAGCAGGAGCGCAGCAGCAGCAGCAGCAGCAGGCGCAGCAGGCAGCAGCAGCAGCAGCAGCTGCCGCAGCAGGCGCCAGGCAGCCCCAGCAGCCAGGCAGCCAGCCAGCAGCCAGCAGCAGCCAGCCAGCCAGCCAGCCAGCCACCAGCCAGCCATCCAGCCAGCCCCAGCCACCAGCCAGCCCAGCCAGCCAGCCAGCCACCACCAGCCAGCCAGCCAGCCAGCCAGCCAGCCAGGCCAGCAAGCCAGCCAGCCAGAAGCCAGCCAGCCAGCCAGCCAGCCAGCCAGCAGCCAGCCAGCCAGCAGCCAGCAGCCAGCAGCCAGCACAGCCAGCAGCCAGCAGCCAGCAGCCAGCACCAGCGCCAGCAAGCCAGCAGCCAGCAGCCAGCAGCCAGCAGCCAGCAGCCAGCAGCCAGCAGCCAGCAGCCAGCAGCCAGCAGCCAGCAGCCAGCAGCCAGCAGCAGCCAGCAGCCAGCAGCAGCCAGCAGCCAGCAGCCAGCAGCCAGCAGCCAGCAGCCAGCAGCCAGCAGCCAGCAGCCAGCAGCCAGCAGCCAGCAGCAGCAGCAGCAGCAGCAGCAGCAGCAGCAGCAGCAGCAGCAGCAGCAGCAGCAGCAGCAGCAGCAGCAGTTCGCCGGCCTGGCCCGCGACTCCGACTCCCAGAGGTCCAACGTATTGCAAAGTTCAGGACGGAGGCATCTCTCTCTTTGTGTTCAGCATCCAGAGGGCCTCGCCGGGCACTGGGGCCGTCATAGGTAGACTCGGGATGACGAGCCCGTCCCCTGGAGAGGGCCGAGTCTTCTAGGGACCCTGTTTGAGAAAGTCCAGGCATCGGATCTCTGGGTGAGGTTTGATCCGTTTCGGCTCACTGTCATCGGCTGGATCCAGCTGGAGCTGGGCGCGGCGGTGGGATTTCGGATTACGTTCGGGACGATTCGCTGGTGATGTGATCCGATCCCGACCAGATCCAAGTTCGCGATCCGATCTCGCCAGCCCAAGTCCGCCAGGGTCGCCCTTGCGTCGTGCAGCAAAACCGTTCAAGACGGGTTTCGAGCAATAAACCCAAACCTCTGGGGTTCCACGTCGTCCACAGATCATGGCGTGGGGTGTGCGGGGGCCCCTGGAGAGAGTGCCCCTTGCGTCCTTGTCTGCTCGGCCTCTCCTCGGCCCTCCTTGCTGGTCAGTCCCGGAGGGTGTCAACCCAAGACGGTGCCAGCTTGGGCGACGAAGGCCCTGGCGTCGTTGCCACGGGGTCCCTGACGTCCTGGCCTCCCAGTAGGCATCAATGAGTCTGGCTTCTTCGGGCCCTGATAAAAGGGGTCCTCTTGTGGCACCTTGGGGCCCTTTTGGAGGCATCCGCGGCCGTCTTGGAGGCATGATGGATGCAGAAGTTGCACGATACTCGAGCGGGTGTGCGTGGGATGAGAGGTCTAGGCCTTGGCGGCCATGCGGGAAGTGCACAATCCTCGAGCGGGCATGCATGGAATGAGGGTGCAGGCATGCGCTGCCGTTCAGGGAGTGCACCATGCTCGAGCGGGCACGCGTGGAATGGGGGTTTTAGGCAGCAGCTGCCATGCAGGGAGTGCACCATCTTCGAGCGGGCACGAGGGAAGTAGAAAACCTACTAAACAGCCCTTGGCATTTTTGTAACGCCTCAACGTGCTCGGGGGCACGGTGGCGGATCCGCCGTAGAAGGACACTCTCCTTCCATCCTCCGCCATTCGCCTTACTCACCCTGCCGCCGTCATAGATCGTTTCTTGTTTCCGTCGTCCCCTCTCCCATTCCGACGAGACAGCAGTTGCGCGCCACATGTTGTTTCTCAGCCACCTGCTGCTCCTGAGCCATCCCTTCCAATGCATCTTCGGTGGACCAACCCAAATGCATCCCTACAGGTCCCTGCATTTCGCCGCGGTCTCAGTGCGACTGCGACGCGGGTTCGACGTGGGTTCGACGCGGATCCGATGTGGATCCGCTGTGGATTTGTAGGCTCGACGTGGAGTTGACGCGAGCTGCGTCGCGATAAGACAGACACCATCCCCGAAGATGCAGTACATAGTAGTATATGTGTAGTTGTTCACTCGCCATCCCCTCTCTCTAGCCTTCATTGTTTTCCTCGTTCCGTTCCTCCCGCTCCCTTCCAGACTCTCCCCCTGCCAGGTGGCGGAGCCGCGACCTGCGGTGTCCTGGTGGCTGCGCAGGCCATGGGGCGGGATGCTTGCGATCTTTCGGGGCCTAATGGTCGTTTTGAAGCGGCTGAAATCCGAAATGGCGAGACCGCTAAAATCCGACCCGTAAAGAACACCGATCGTGGCGTCCTGGAGGTCCTCTTGGAGCCCTCTTGGCGCGTCTTGGGGCCCTCCTGGGCTGTCTGCAGAACATCTTGGGCCGTCTTGGAGCCATCTTGCCCGTCTCGGAGGCCGTCTTTGATCTTGGTGCCATATTGGAGGCCATACTGTCCGTCTTGAGACTATGTGTTGTGGGTGCGGCTTTCACGCGGCTCTCAAGGTGGCCGACGGGAGCGGCCGAAGGCCCGCTGGGAATCTTCAAAACAAAATATCCATTACCAAACGTCAAGAACGCCGTGCACCCCTGAGCCTGTGGTAAGCCAACATGGGCGGCGAATCCAGTGGCCGTCGGCCCAGCCCGCCATCATGCCTTGGTTGCAGGTCGCAGGCCTCTCGGCTACCTGTGGGGATCTCTTGGGGGGCCCCTCGGGAGCCTCTCAGTGCCTCTGGGGACTCTTGGGAGCCTCTGGGGGCCAGATTGGGGCCCTTCGGGGACTCCCGAAGCCTCGGGGGGGGGGGGGGTTGGGGGGCCGGCTGGCGCGCCTCGAGCAATTTGTCCTGGCGCCTCCAGAGCGCGAGAGTTCGTCGCAAGTTTGCCTGTGGGGTCGTGGCCTCGGGGGCGCGACGGTGTTGTACGCGTGAGTGTCCCAGGGCCCCCATGAGTTCGGAGCGCGTGGTTCCAAAGGTGGTAAATGGGCGCCTGTCGGCCAGGGGGGTACTACGACGACGACTACTACTACTACTACTACTACTACTACTACTACTACTACTACTACTACTACTACTACTACTACTACCACTACTACTACACTACGACTACTACTACTACTATACTACTACTACTACACTACTACTACTACTACGAACTAACTACGACTACACTAACTATACCTACTACTACTACTACAACTACTATACGACTACTACGACTACTACGACTAACGACTTACGACTTACCGACTGACGACTACGACTATGACTACTACTAGTACTACGACTACTACTACTACTACTACTACTACACTTACTTCTACTTCTACTGCTACTACTACTTTCTACACTACTACTACTACTACTACTACTACTACTACTACTACTACTACTACTACTACTACTACTACTACTACTACGACTACTACTACTACGACTCCGACTACGACTACTACTACTACCACCACCACGCGCCAGCACCCAGAGGCCGACGATGGAACCGGGAATTTCTGATCCTCTGCTCTGCCAGTGGCCTGCGGCGCATCCCGCCGCCGTGCCTGGGCAGTGGGTCGGAGTCCTCGTGCATGCGTCGTGAGTTCTCTTCGGAGGGCTCTCGGGAGTCTCCGGAGGCAGCTTTGTGGCCGTTTGGGAGCCTCTTCTGGATTAGCTGGGGGCCTCTTCGGGCGTCCTGGAGGCCTCTTGGGGTTTCGCGAGTTCAGCATCCGCCTTGGAATCAGGAATTCATAATGATAACACCTATCTCTTTCGCACTGGAACTGTTGCGGGTTGCAGGAACTCGATCCTCGGAGTCTGGTGGCCCAAGGGGGCAAGCGGATTGCTTTGAAGCAGTAATGCATTCCGCCCCAAAGCAGAAGAAGGGGGTCTGAAGATAATGCGCCCCAGCCCGCCTTCGCCCTAGAGAGCTGTCGGGATCCGCATGGGCATCGAGAGAACGTATCATTTAGATGTTCGTTTTATGGACGGTCCTGGGTCATTCTCATGGATCCGTTTGACGAGTTCGACCTTACCCCGAATCTAGTTCGACTCCAGCTCGACTCATTTTCGATTCAAGTGCGGCTCAAGTCGACGGACGTTCGACGCAGCATCGACGCATGAGTGGAGCTAGCGGTTCCAGGAAGGTCCCCTAAACGATAATCTTACGTCACCCGATCGTTCATGCCGTGAGGGCGGCCTCGTGGATGTATGTATGATTGTGTATGTATGTGTGAGTGTGTGATCGGGGCATATTCATGTGCGTAGCTGGGTGCATACGTTATTTTGGGGCTTCCTTGGTCGAGATCCACCATTATACTGTCTCATCTTCACCTTCTCCCCCTCCTACTCCACCTCCTCCTCCTCCTCCTCCTCCTCCTCCTCCTCCTCCTCCTCCTCCTCCTCCTCCTCCTCCTCCTCTCCGCGTTTGCACCGCATTCGAAGCGCATTCGGCGCCTCCATTCCGCGTCATTATTGCTAGCGCCCTGTACGTAGCCATTGTGGCGCAAGATCAAGGTGCCGACTTGAAGCCATGGTTGCAGCCAGGCTGCTTGCTCTGGGCCTCCTCGTGGCTCGCCTGGCACCCGGCGCAGGCAGAGGCTCGGTGCGGCGGCCGGTGCAGGGCTCGCAGAGCTCCGGCCCGCTGGCCGAGCCGTGGGGCGGCCGCACGGTGCAGGACCTGCACCGCGAGTACAGCAATATCTTCTGATGGGCCCATTCTCAACCACCACTAACGCGTGCATGAGGAGGAGGAGGAGGAGGAGGACCTCCTCATCCTCCCTTCTCCCCCGTCCTGCATATTGTGGTGGTGGTGGAACATGTGCCCATCATCTTCCGGAGCGGTAATCGGAATGCGGCGTCTCATCTCTGGAGCTCTTTTCTCATCGGCCGAGCCCCTTCCATGCCGAGGAAGCGGTTCCTCAAGCTCTCGGGTGGTTATTGTGCTGTGAGTGGCTCGCCGGTGGGCCCTTCGGACGTGACTCGCTACAGGCTTCGCCTGGACCACGTGGATGGTTCTGGGAAGCGCGCCGGATTCATGTATTATTGTTGTTGGCCTTGTGTTTGCGACACACAGGATTTTATTCGCGTAGACACGAAGACGATCCGTACTGCCGATGGTAGTCACGAGTACATGGTGGCTGTTATAGGGAATCCATGCGACAGGCCAGCAGCACTATCACAACCTTTTGTGCAACCTTTCGACGCCAGGAGCACTACAATTCTTCAGGCTGCGCCAGAAGTGCAGTGTGACCGCAATGGCAAGCTCTCAGGAGCAACGATGAGCGACAACGACTACGTCATAATCAGCTTGTTTTTCGAGGCTTCCAAGCAGTCCGCATTCCAGGACGAGGTCGACTTTGAGCTCATGTGTGAGGATCGGAAGCAGCATGGATACAACAGTGGCATGGGGGAGATCTTCAGACGGGTGGCGGCGGTCTCGCCCGTGAAAGTGGGAGCTCGGGGCGCTCTTGTGCCTCCTGCGAATATGAGCGTGCGGCAGCTGCGTGCAGAGATCCAGCGCCGCGGACTCGATGCCCGTGGCGCGACCGAGCGGCACGAGCTCGTGGCGCTGATCGAGGGGAGCCAGGGCGCACAGCTGCGGAAGCTCGGCGTGCAGAAGCTGCGGCTGGAGGCTTCCCGCCTCGGCCTGGACGTGCGCGGCCTGACCGAGAAGGGGGAGCTGGTGGCGCTGCTCGAGCGAGCGCTCGTCGCCACCCCGCGGTTGGTCCACGGCGAGGGGCCCCCGTCGCCCCGGAAGCCCTGGAGCGAGATGTCGGTTCGTGAGCTCCGCGCCGAGGTGGCGCGTCTTGGGTTGAGTGCCAGGGGCTGCTTGGAGCGGGCCGATTTCGTGGAGCTGCTCCAGGAGGAGCGAAGGACGCACAGCGAGTCGCGCGCGGAAGCTCTGGGCACCGAGGCCGAAGGAAGAGCAGAGAGCAGGGCCGAGCCGTCGAGCTCCGAGGGTGGGCTTACTTACAATGAAGATCTGTGAGCATGAATTTGGTAGCGGCCAAGTGTTGCAATACGTGTAATGTAAAATCGTGAAGCTGTATTTTGTCATGAGGAGCGGCAGCGGTAGCCTCGATTTTCTGCTTGGCGAAATTCAGCTATACGTCTGGGCATCTGGATTTTTCGGCTTCACGCAGCCCTGAAGAGAGGCGAAGGGGTACCCGAGTCAATTTTCAATATCCCAGAAGCTGACCTCAATGTACAGACAGCTATGGGAGTCCAATCGACCTGCTACAAGCATCTAGCAGTTGCATGATTACCGTGGACGTGCAGTTGAATGGAGCAGGTCGCCATACAGAAACGTTCTCGTCCTCCTTGGCCTCCTCCTGCTCCTCCCCCTCTACTCAGCGCGCCCCGTCCTGGCGCTTGCAAGGTGGTCCTGGCCTTCGGGCTCCACCGTGTAGGTGCTGGGTGGGGGTTGTGAGGGCTGTACCTCCTTCCCCGTCTCTGGATCCAACTGCCCCTCGGCTTCCGCTCGCTCGCTCCCCCCTCTGCTCAGCACATCCATCCTGGCCAGAGCCCGAAGGCGACAGCCCACGCCTTCCCCTGCGGTCGACTCAAGCGGAGCTCCGAGGCTGCTCCGGCTCGTCCCGTGAGGCGGGAGGAGCTGGCGGCCGGGCTCCCCGGCTCCCAAAGTTGGCCCCTATAGGGCCGAAAATGACGAAAGACTGAACACCTAGAACAACTCGCCCTCCCACTTCTCCTCCTCCTCCTCCTCCTCCTCCTCTTCCTCCTCCTCCTCCTCCTCCTCCTCCTCCTCCTCTTCCTCCTCCCCCAGCTCTCCCCGGAAGGCCGGAGCTCCGGGACGCCACTCGCGCCGCGCTCGGCGACATCCTGGAGAGCATCGACCCCTGCCTCTTCGAGACCATTAGGCCGGCTGCCCCGCAGAGATTTCGCGTCGCCTCGTCTGATGGTTTGCACGAGCGAAATGGGCACGGAAAGAATGGGTGCAATGCCAAACAGCGGATCTTGTTCATTTAAAACAGGACTCGCTGTCCACGCCGCCGCGGCCTGTGTCCATTCGAGACAGAAGGCCGCCTGCCCAACAGCGGCCGCTGTTAGTTTGGGACAACATCTGTTGTTGGGCATTGTACTTTTTTTCCGTACCCATTTCGGGCGTCCAAAATTCAGTTTTAGGGTCGGAGCAGATGGGGTATCGGAGGGTCGCGTCGCGTCGCCGATGCAACGCCGATGTGGCTCGATGTGGAGCCCGATTTCCTTCACGTCGACGTCGCCGATGCATCGCTCACGTCGACGCCTCATCGCTGGTGCATCGCCGATGCATCGGCGATGCGGCGCGGTCCTCCGACCTCATCTACTCCGACCCCATCTAGGAGGACTCTAGGGTAAAGATACGTAACGATGTCTGCACAGAGGTCAATCAGAGTCTGCATCTCGGGATCTCTTGCCTCCGCCAGCTTCCCAGCGGGGTTTGGCCGGAGGGCGCCCTAGGATCTTCCTCCTTCTCCTCCTCCTCCTCCTACCTCCTCCTCCTCCTCCTCCTCCTCGATCCTCCTACCTCCTCGATCCTCCTACCTCCTCCTCCTCCTCCTCCTCCTCCTCCTCCTCCTCCTGCCTCCTCCTCCGCCTCCTCCTCCTCCCTCCTCCCCTCCCCCTACCGCCTCCTCCTCCTCCTACTGCCTCCTCATCCTCCTCCTCCTCTTCTTCCCTCCTCCTGCCTCTCTACCTCCTCCTCGATCCTCGTCCTCCTCCTCCGCCTCCGCCTCCTCCTTCCCCTCCTCCTCCTCCTCCTTCCTCCTCTTCACTCCTCGCCTCCCCTCCTCCTCCTCCACCTCCTCCTCTACCAGTTACTCGATCCTCATACCTCCTTTTCCTCGTCCTCCTCGACCCATCTACCTTCTCCTCCTCCTCCTCCTCCTCCTCCTCCTCCTCCTCCTCTGGGCACAGGCATTTTATTGGACGCCTCCTGGTTCCAGGCCCTCTCGCGTCCGCGGGGCCCCCCCTGGGCGGCGGAGCGCACGTGGCACGTGGGGCCAGCAGCGCCCGCACTCGCGCGTGCGCTCCAGGCCTCCCCGATACCGAAGAAGCACAAAACCACATAAACATAAACGTTTGGCGCCCCGCGCGGATTTCTTGGATCCGCGCCTGGGCCCCCTCGGCGGCGCCTCCGGCGCCACTCCTGGCGCGCTCCGCGCGCCAGGGAGGGGGGTCTGGCGCGGATCCAAGAAATCCGCGCGGAGTGCCGCAAGTTTATGTGTATGTGGATGTTTCTTCTTCCTTTCCAGGCCTCCCAGATTGGGTCCGAGTAGATGGGGTCGGAGGATCGGAGGCTCGATGCTGGAGTTTGCTTTTCTCCACGCCGACGTCGATGCATCGCCGACGTCGCCAGTGCATCGCCAATGTATCGGCGACGCATCGCCGAGCATCGGCGATGCGGCGCGATCCTCCGACCCCGCCTGCCCCGACTCCACCTAGGAGGCCTCCGTAAGCAGCCCGCGTACGATGGCGCGTCGGCGCCTTTGCCTCCCATGCGCGTCGCGCGGCGCCGGCGGCCCGCGCACGCCGCCGCACAAGCTCGCCGTGCCAGCTGGCGTCGGACCCGTGCTGGTTTAAGTCGGGCCTCTCCCTCTACAGGAGGAATTTGAAATAGTCAAAAAATGATATTGGGACGATTGTTTGAAGCATTTTTGACTATTTGGGGCATCTATTGTCGGGTATAGCCAGGACCCCAGGTAAGAGGACCCGGTTAGTGGTAGGGCCCCGGAGCCTTTGAATTGGCCAGAATCACTAAACCAGGTTTACCATAGCTGGTGTTTTTTTGGGTGACGGCAGTTCCGGTTAGTGGAAATGGTACGGGGGGGGCGCCCCCGGTACAGATCACTAAACCAGGTTCCACTAAACCCAGTTCTGCCAACGCCCGATGTTGGGGTATGTTCAATCTTTCGCCCGCCTGCAGGGTGACAGGCCCGACCTGAGTGTTGTTTTGGTTCGTGCCCTCGCGTGCCGGCCTCTGGCGGCCTCCTGCCTGGCTCCGGGCTCCGTCCAGAGGTGGGCCTGCAGGTCCCGCCTCCCTCGAGGCTTCTCTTCCTCCTCCTCCTCCTCCTCCTCCTCCTCCTCCTCCTCCTCCTCCTCCTCCTCCTCCTCAGGGGGAGGATCGATCCTCCTCCTCCTCCTCCTCCTCCTCCTCCTCCTCCTCCTCCTCCTCCTCTCCGCCTCCCTCAAGGCTTCTCCGCCTCCTGTCGATCCTCCTCGGGGGGAGGATCGAGAGGGGGACGGGGAAGGGGGGGAGGAGTAGGGGGCAGGGGAGGAGGTGGGGGAGGATCAGGGAGGGGGAGGGGCCAAGGGGGGGGAGGAGGGGGGAGAGGAGGAGGTAATTGGGGGAGGATCAAGGAGGGGGAGGGGGAGAAGAGGATGGGTGAGGAGCACGAGGAGGGTGGGAAGCAAGAGCCGGGGGGGCAGGGTGGACCAGCTAGAGGAGCGAGCAGACGAGGGGAGGGGGGGGGGGAGGAGAAGACGAGGGATGATGATGGAGGGCAAGGCACACGAGAGGGAAGTGGACTTGTTGGGGGAGTCGGAGTGCGCCTCCCAAACTATTGGGGGCTACAGGACGTGAGGCCTAAGGCCAGTTCTGCGCATTGGGTGGGGTTTCGCCCTGTGAGCAAAAACACGACTTCGCGCTCTTGGGCTCTATGGACCCGTTTCTGGGGGGCGGTTATTCATGTTGAGTCTCAGGGGAGGCGTCCGAGAGGGGGGCGATGGCGATAGCAAGGTATGTGTATGAGTGTTTGAGTGTGTATGTATGTGTGTCTGTGCGTGTGCGTGGGCGTGGGTCCGCGTGTGTGTGTGTGTGTGTGTGTGTGTGTGTGTGCGCGCGCCCGCGTGTGTGTGTATGTGTGCGCGTGTGTGTGTGTGTGTGTATGGGTGTGTGTTTGTTCGTGCGTGCGTGCGTGCGTGCGTGTGTGTGTGTGTGTTTGTGTGTGTGCGTGTGCGTGTGCGTGTGCGTGTGCGTGTGCGTGTGCGTGTGCGTGTGCGTGTGCGTGTGCGTGTGCGTGTGCGTGTGCGTGTGCGTTTGCGTGTGCGTGTGCGTGTGCGTGTGCGTGTGCGTGTGCGTGTGCGTGTGCGTGTGCGTGTGCGTGTGCGTGTGCGTGTGCGTGTGTGTGCGCGTGCGCGTGCTCGTGCGCTTGCGCGTGTGCGTGTGTGCGTGTGCATGTGCGTGTGCGTGTGCGTGAGCGTGAGCGTGTGCGTGTGCGTGTACGTGCGCGTGCGTGTGCGCATGTGCGTGTGCGTGCGCGTGCGTGTGTGCGCGTGTGCGTGTGCGCGTGCGTGTGTGCGTGTGTCCGTGTGTGCGTGTGCGTGTGCGTTTGTGTGTGCGCGTGTGAATATCACATCCGTTTCCACGGCATCTCCAAGATGGCATTGCCCCCCTCTTGTTTTGACACATCCGTTGCCTCTCCCTTTCGTTCGCGTGCATGCTTCCTGAAAAGGCGCGCCCTACCCCTTGTCCTGGCCTCCCTCTTCGTCGCAACCCGATCGTCGGTCCTGGTGCCTTGTGAGGGGCCCACAGGGGCCGAGAACTACCAGAGGCTATCCGCTTTGATTTCTTCACGAAGAGAGAATGGCAGGGTCGAGGGAGAGGAATGGGCTTAAGTCGGGCCTGTCCATCTACAGGAGGCATAGTAAACTAGTAAAACCATATGGGGACGTTTGTTTCATATACATCATTCCCTACCTAGGCACTGCCTAGAAGGGTTCTTACTCGGTGTGCTTAAAGGGCCAGGCAGTGGAACGCGCCCAGGGCGGTTCCCCCAGTATCCGCCCCGCGGTTCTCCCAGTTACGTCCCCTTAGCTTAGCGTTGCTTATCTCATCTTAGCTTAGCTGAGTTCATCTTAGCTTAGCTTAGGTTCATCTTAGTTCAGGTTTATCTTAGCTAGCGTACCTTCTTAGCTTCGCTGTAGCATAGCAGAGCACAGCATAGCATAGCGTAGCATATCATAGCGCAGCATAGCATGTCATAGCATAGCCCAGCATATCATAGCATAGCGCGGCATAGCATAGCATTGCATAGCGCAGCACAGCACAGCATAGCACAACGCAACATAGCATCGCATCGCACAGCATAACAAAGCATAACTCAGGCTAGCATAGCATGGCATAACATATCATATCACAGCACAGCGCAGCATGTCATAACATAGCTTAGCTTAGCATAGCATAGCATAGCATAGCGCAGCATATCATAGCATAGCATAGTATAGCGCAGCATAGCATGGCATAGCATAGCATAGCATAGCAACTAATGCTGGTTTCCTAGGGACTCCAACTTCTAGGTAGGGTCGCACTGGGGTAAGTTTTGTTTGTTTTGTTGTTTGGTTACGTGTCACCCCGCACTGCGGCAGCTTGCGAGATTCTGGAGAACTCGCCGCAGGCGCCAAAGTTTCACACATTATACAACGAGCCCGCCGCAGGCGCCGACTTTTTCGTTAAACCAATGTGGGTAGGTCGCATGTGGGGCGCAGGTGGGTCGCAAATGGGTCGCAGGTGGGTCGCGGGTGGGTCGTTGTTGGGTCGCGGGTGGGTCGTTGGTGTAGAGGGCAGAAGATCCACCCCATATTAATCACCCCGACAAGCGAAGCCGCTTAGTACACGCGCACATGGAATGTATCGAACAGGGCAGGGCTGTCTTGTAAGCGCCCAAGGCCGTTTAGTAAACCTCAATTGTCGGGTCTTGGTGGTTTCTCCTCCCTTGAGGGTGGGTCGCAGGTGGGTCGCGGAGTGGGTCGCGGGTGGGTCGCGAGTGGGTCGCGGCGTGGGTCGCGGGGTGGGTCGCGGGGTGGGTCGCGGGTGGGTCGCGGGGTGGGTCGGGGTTGGGTCGCGGGTTGGGTCGCGGGGTGGGTCGCGGGGTGGGTCGCGGGGTGGGTCGCGGGTGGGTCGCGGGTTGGACGACGACAACAAACATCATCAACAACAACAACAACAACAACAACAACAACAACAACAACAACGCAACAAGCATAATTCTAACCACACATTCCCTCTTGAGCCACGCACCCAGGGACAATGAATGACCGTTCGGCCCCCTCAGCCTGATTTTTAAGATTTCGTCCGACATCCCCCTGTAGGAAACATGCCCGACCTAAGAGTAGGCGGGCGGGAATCAGCGGCGCGCCCAGGGAGAAACGCAGACGGGGCGGGCCTTCCCAGAAGGCTCGGGAGGCCTCCGGCCTTCTGAGAAGCTTCCTGCGCCTTCTCCGTGGCCGCACGGGGCCTCTCTCAGAACGCCCGAGGGCGTCTGTGGAGGCTGGCTCCCTTTTCACTTCAACCCACGGCGTGCCGCCGATGAAGCCCAGAGAGCCGCTGTCTTGGCTTCCCGAGACGGGGTACCCGGGAGGCCCGACCCATTTCAGGGGACATGGGGGCAGGGGCATGGAGTGGAGGGGAGGTGGAGGGATTGGAGGTGGAGGAGGGGGAAAGGGGGGGGGTGGAGGGATTGGAGGTGGAGGAGCAGGAAGAGGAGGAGGAGGAGCAGGAGAAGGAGCAGGAGGAGAAGGAGGAGGAGTTGGAGGAGGAGGAGGGTACCCGGGAGGCATCGTCTCGAGCCGTTTTGTGGAGTGTTGGCGGTCCCCCCGGGGCCCCAGCGGGGGCATCCTCTCGATAGAGGCCGAGCGCGGCGCCAGGGATCCAGAAGTTGCCGCCTCCTGCACTTCCTCCACCTCCTCCTCCATGCCCCGTCCTCGTCCTCCTCATCCTCCTCGTCGTCCTCCTCCTCCTTCTCCCCCTTCCCCTCCTCCCCATCCTCCTCCTCCTCCTCGCCCCCCCCATCCCTCCCTCCTCCTCCTCCTCCTCCTCCTCCTCCTCCTCCTCCTCTTCCACTCCTCCTCCTGCCTCCTCCTCCTCCTCCTCCTCCTCCTCCTCCTCCTCCTCTCCTCCTCCTCATCGCCCCCCCATCTCCTCCACCTCCTGCTCCTCCTCCTCCTCCTCCTCCTCCTCCTCCTCCTCCTCCATCTCATCTTCCGCCTCCTCCTCATCCTCCTCGGGTCTCCTACGGCCCCGTGGGAAGCCGTGCAGGCCATGGTCGACACCAAGCAGTGCACAGGGCATGGACGTCCGAGCGATGGCAAGTGTCGGCTACACGTAAGTCGGGCGTGTCCCTCTACAGGAGGAATTTTCAAAACTAGTCAAAAATAGTCAGGGGACGCTGTCTTGAGTATTTGGGGATTGTTTTTCAATGTTTGACCATTTTGAGTTTTTCGCCCGGAATTCGCCTGTGCAGGAGGACACGCCCGACCTGAGAGTGCCCGTGCGATAGGCTCGCGCCGCGTCGTGCCGTGCCGGCGGCCCAGGACCGGTCGATGTTGGAGGCGTTGACGCGTCGGAGGCGGCCGCGGTGTCAGGAACCCGCGTCGAGGCCGGCACGATACGAACTTCCCCTGCCAGCGCTCGGACGTGCGGATTTTTTCTCGGCGAGGGCCATCGAGGGGCACCCTTGATCATTTGGCGGAAAATAACCACGCACGAAACCCGCAAAAGCACAGGGAATGAACTCCGAGGCGAGGAGCACCCTTGATGATTTGGCGGAACAACCACGCACGAAACCGACAAAAGCACAGGGAACGAACTCCGAGCGATGGCTGGCGAGCACGCCGTAGAAGTGGCGCTGCGCCGTGGTGTCCTCTGGTTGCCGCGTCCACGGGGGGGGGCTCCCCCGATCGTCGCGTGAGGGCTGCTCGCTTTTGGGCCCCTCGCGCTCGCACCCGGTCTGCCTTGAGTATGTCCCGATTCTTTCCGTTTTTCTTCCAGAATTCTCTTATCTTTCTTCCAGAGTCCGCCTTTCGGAGGGACATGACGTGCCCGACCGAATCTCACTCGGACGGGGCGAGGGCGAGGAGGAATCCGTCCCAGGGCGTTCGGGGACGCCCCCGAGAGCATTTCCGGCCACGCTCCAAGACGGCCGCGGCGCCCGACACATCCGCCGGATCCGCTGGATCTCAGAGGCCCTCGACTTTCATCCTCGCCCGAGTCTGTCCTCGTCCTGGCCTCGTCGCACACTGAAAATCCGTGCCAAGAGAAACGCTGCAAGCCTCCGGGGTTCCCTGGGCTTCGGTGGTTTTGATATGGGGAGCGTGGCGTTCCCACACCGAAGATCAATGGACGTCCTGGGGTCTCAGTTGTTGGGTTTCTTGTAGAGGTTTCTTGTGGTCGAGCTTCTGTTGTAGGATGAGGATACATCCGTCCCAGGGCGTTCCTTGCGGAACGCTCTCAGAGCCATCGCAGAACGCTGCGAGAAGGCCGCGGCGCCCGAGACGTCCTCCAGATCTCTGCCAGGTCTCTGAGAGCCTCGGTTTGATCTTCACCCGATGCTGACCTCGTCCTGGCTTCGTCTCACGTGCCCAGGGTCGATCCCGCGTGTAAAGTGGGAGCCCGTGCTGAGAAACGCCCCGCTAGCCTCCAGTTTGCCCTAGGGTTCCTGGGCGCCGAGGGTCCTGCTAGGGAAAGCGTGGCGCTCCCACGCCGGCAGTCCATGCACATCCTGGGGGTCCAGTGCTGGCTTTCTTGTGGCAGGCTTCTGGTGGTCGAGCTTTTACAGTGCCGTGTTTAATACATGCTCCGCGTGCGGATCATGTATTAAACATGCAGGGAATTAGTACTAAAAACAACGATGAGTTCATGCATAAATTTGTTCATACATTAAGCATGTACGAAAAAACAGATATGTTAACATATCCTATGTATTAAACACTGCCCTGTACACTGTAGGGCGAGGCTGCGATGACGAAGGAGAGCAGCTGAAGAGCGAACGAGCCCAAGTCCAACGAGGGCCTCCAGGGCCCCAAGCATGGCTCGCTTTGACGAGCCGACCCTCAGCAGCCTACGCGCGATCGGGGCTGTGGAATAGGAGGAGGAGGAGGAGGAGGAGGAGTGGCAGGAGGAGAACAGGAGGGGGACGAGGAGGAGGACGAGGAGGAGGAGGAGGAAGGAGGAGGAGGAGGACGAGGAGGAGAGGGAGAGGGAGGAGGAGGAGGAGGAGAGGAGGAGGAAGAGGAGGAGGAGGAGGAGGGGAGGGAGAGGAGGAGGAACGAGGAGGAGAGGGGAGATTGCGGATGAGGGAGGAGGAGCAGCAGGAGGGAGGAGGAGGAGGAGGAGGAGGGGGAGGGAGGAGGAGGACGAGGAGGAGAAGGAGGAGGAGGAAGAGGAGGAAGAAGGAGGAGAAGGAGAAGGAGGAGAAGGACGAGGAGGTCGGATCCTGCCGCCGCGGGGCCGGAGCCCGCCTCTCGCGCATGCCGGCCGCCGCTCCTCGAGCGATGAGCCCCGGGGGGGGGATCTCTGCTGAGCGGAGCTCTCCCGCGCCTCGTGGAGGTGCCAGGCGAAAGACACGGCTGGGACTTGGTCCTCCTCGTCATACCCCTTCGCGCTGTCGAGTTTCTCCTTCTCCTTCTCCTACTCGTTCTCCTCATCATCATCACCATCATCACCATCGTCATCATCACCATCACCAGCATCATCATCATCATCATCATCATCATCATCATCATCATCATCATTATCATCATCATCACCATCATCATCATCATCATCATCATCATCATCTTCATCATCTTCATCATCTTCATCATCTTTATCATCTTTATCATCAGCATCATCATCATCACCATCACCAACACTAGCATCATCATCATCATCAGCATCATTATCGTCATCGTCATCATCATCGTCATCGATAGCATCGTCATCGTCATCATCAACATCATCTGCATCGTCATCATCGTCATCATCACCATCATGTCATCATCATCACCATGGTCACCATCACCATCACCACCACCATCATCATCATCATCATCATCATCATCATCACCACCACCATCATCATCATCAGCATCAGCATGAGTATAATCATCATGGTTGTCATCGTTATCAACACCATCATCGTCATCATCAGCATCGTCATCATCATCATCATCATCATCATCATCATCATCATCATCATCATCCTCAGCACCATCGTCATCATCATCATAATCATCACCATCACCAGCATCATCATCACCAGCATCATCATCATCATCCTCCTCCTCCTCCTCATCATCATCATCATCATCATCCTCATCCTCATCCTCCTCAACCACACCATCATCATCACCACCATCCTCATCCCCATGCTCGTCCTCCTCATCCCCATGCTCATCCCCATCCCCGCGCGGTCGCTCCGGCGTGCAGCCGAGAGCAGGCGAGAGAGAGAGAGGCGTGGCGCGCCGCCCTCGGCCTGCCGCCCCCCCCCCCCCGCTCTCCCGCGGCGGCGCCCAGGGACGGCCAGGAGGCGCTGGCGTGCCTGCAGCTGGAGGGGCGCGCGCGCGGGGCCTGCGGCGGGGGGCCTCGGGCGGAGGGCCTGGCGGGGGGCCCCGGGGACCCGGACTTCCTGGCTGGCTCCAGGGCGGGTGTTATTCGAGTGGGCTGAGTGGTTTGTGTCGTGATGCCGGTGGCGAGGGTGATGATGGTGCTTCTCCGATCGCAGTGCTGATGGTGATGGCGACGGTGATGGCGATGGCGGGGGCCCCGCCGGGCCCTGCGGGGGGCCCCAGGGACCCAGGCTGAAGTCGGGCGTGTCCCTCTACAGGAGGAATCTTCAAGAATAGTAAGAATATAGTCCGGGGACGTTTTTTCTTTACATAAATATATACATATATAGATTTAACTCTTTTATTTTTCGTCCAAAGTCCGCCTCTAGGGGGACATGCCCGACCTAACCCCGCGTGATGAAAACGTCACCCTATTTTGGCCTCCGGGGGCCATCACTGGGCCTCGGGGCCGTCAACAAGAACAATTCAGGATGAGGAGCTGGTCCCGGGGACGACGTCCAGACCTCGGGGTGTCGACGTTGCGAAGAAATCACGACGTCGGGGGTCTGGGGATCTCGTAGACGCTCGCTCTGGGAACCTCCCTGGGGCCCACCCTAATCGGGGGCTCGCCGACGTCGCCAATACATCGCCGATGCATTTGCGATTCATATGCGATGCATTGGCGATGCGTGGCGCGATCCTTCGACGCCATCTACTCGGACCCCATTTGGGAGGCCTTTGAGGACTCAAGATACGAGAGGCGGGAATAAGGCGACAGGGCAAGACGCAACGAACAGCGCTGGGGCTCGGGGCTTCTCAGAAGTCATCGAGCATAGAAAATTTCTCAGAAGGCCGGGGGGTGTCCGAGCCTTCTGAGAAGGCCCGCTCCTTCTCCTTTCTGCTCCTCGCTCGCCGCTGATAGAATCACGATTGCCAGGAATAAGGTCTTGCGGGATCTTGTCGACATCCGTTCTTGGTCCTTGCACACGCTAGTCGTCGTTGATTCGTGATGGTGAATCATGAATTGACCATGACCGACATGGGTGATGACCAAGGTTATCTGCACCCACGGTTACCCATCGGTCGTTGAAAGTATGTATTTTTGGATTCCCATATTCCGATATATTTTCAGCGCCTTCCTACTTCAACGATCGAGTGGCTTCACCCTTCCCATCCTCCCAAGGGGCGGGCGGACACCCAATCTATGTTCAACGCCTTCCTACTTCATGTTTCTACCTACTTCTTCCGACCGACGGGTATGTCTCAGGAGGGGAAAAAACACACAGACACAATTAATCGTCGATTCCCAAGAAAATATGGGAAAATATGGGAATTGGGCGGGAAGACAAAAAAAACAGAACATATATAGGAAAATAGGGGGGATCATTTTATGTGTGTGTATTTATTTGTGTGTCCTGGGGCCCCTTGAATGTCGTATGTGCTCAGCCTTGGTATCGGTCCCTCCAAGACGGCGCCCGGCCCCAGGCGGGGCAGCGGTCCGGCCGCGAGAGCCTCGCTTCTTGGGGCCCCCGCGGGGCTGCTTGCGGGCTGTGGTGCTGAGCTTTTGCTGACGGGCCTGTTTTCCACCACCACCACCATGAGGTGGAGGGGGAGGGGGTCCTCCTCCTCCTCCTCCTCCTCCTCCTCCTCCTCCTCGTCCTCCTCGTCCTCCTCGTCCTCCTCGTCCTCCTCCTTCCCCCCTCCCCTGCAACTTATGGTGGTGGTGGTGGTGGTGGAGAACAGGCCCATCATTTGCCGCTCATTGCTGCTTTTAAGTCGGGCTCGTCCCTCTACAGGAGGAGTTTTCGAAACTGGTAAAGAACACTGTCTGGGGACGATTCTTCGACTAGTTTTTGCAATCTGCTGGGCTACTTTCTCCGTTGCGTTCGGACTCCGCCGGTAGGGGGACTTGCCCGACCCGATTCTGCTTCGAAGGCAGACGGCGTGCAGCAGCCACGGCCTCGCGGGCCCGGGCCGCCAGGCCGCGGCCCCTCAGAGGAGCCAACGGTACTGCTACCGCTGCCCCTCCCTCGCTTTCGCCTCGTGGGGGCCTCCTGGGAGGCCCTCGTTGCCACTGCTGGATCCGCTGCAAAATTCCGAGCCAGGAGGCAGCCCAGGGGAGTTTCGGGGAGTGGCGGCATCGGCGCCCCAGATCGTGGCACGCATCCATGCGACCGCGTGTGGGGGGCGCGTGATGGGGGGGGGCATCGAGGGCCGCCGAGAAGGGGCCCTCCCAGGCCCCCAAAGGGGCTTTTTTGGGGAAAGAGCGCCAGTTGACCACCTCGTAGTTAAAATGGGGGGGGTTCTCCCAGAACCCCCCACCCCCTCCCCCCTTCAAGGGTGGGGGGTGGGACATTTTCGAACCCCCTTCCTTGGCGCTGGAGACGGGGGGGGGCGATTTCGGATCCCAGGCAAGAGGGGGCTAGGGTTAGGCGTAAGTGGTAGGGTTCGGGTTTAGGGTATGGGTTAGGGTTAGGGTATTCGGGTATTCGGGGTTAGGGGGTGAGGTTGAGGTAAGGGTTAGGGTTTCGGTAGGGGTTCGGGTCAGGGTTATGGCTTAGGGTCGGGGAAGGGTTAGGGGTACGGGTTAGGGTTTGGGTTAGGGGTTAGGGTTGAGGGTAGGAGTTAGGGTTTGGATTCGGGAGCAGGGTTAGGGTTTACGGTTAAGGTTAGGGGCTAGGGTTAGGGTTCGGGGTGTGGGGTTAGGCTTTAAGGTTGATGTTGGGTTAGGGCTAGGGTAGGGGTTACGGTTGTGATTAGGGGTTCTATCAGGGTGAGGGTTAAGGCTAGGGGTTAGAGTTAGGGTTAGGGGTTAGTTAGGCTTTCAGGTTGAGGTTAGGTTAGGGCTAGGGTAGGGGTTAGGGTTGTGATTAGGGATTGTGTTGGGGTTAAGTTTTAGGTTAGGGGTTAGGGTTTAGGGGTTAGGGTGGGGGCTATGGTAGAGGTTAGGGTTAGGGTATTGTTTATGGGTTGGGGCTTCGGGTTACTATTTGAGATCAGGGTTAGGGTTAGGGGTTAGGGCAGGGTTTAGTGGTGAAGGTTAGGGGATAGGGTTGGGGTTAGAGATTCGGGTCAGGGTTAGGGGTGGTGGTAGGGGTTAGGGGTCAGGTTAGGGTTAAGGCGTAGGGTAGGAGTTATGGTTTGGGGTAGGGGTTAAGGTAGGGGTTTAGGGAAGGGCTGGAGGTTAGGGTTAGGGTTTCAGGGTTTGGAGTAGAGATTAGGGTAAGGGTTAGGGATTCGGGTCAGGGTTAGGGGATAGGGTAGGGTTTAGGAGTTAGGGTTAGTTCTTAGGGTAAGGGTCAGGGATTAGGGCTAGGCTTAGGGGCTATGGTTAGGCGTAAGGGGAAGGGTTCGGGTTTGGGGTAGGCATTAGGGGTAGGGTGAGGGTATTCGGGGTTAGGGGTTAGGGTTGAGGTAGGGGTTGGGGTGAGGGTAGGAGTTAGGGTTAGGGGTTACGGGTTAGGGGTTAGAATCGGGGTAAAGGGTTAGGGTTAAGGGTATGGGTATGGGTTAAGGGTATGGGTTAGGGTTAGGGTAGGAGTTAGGGTTGGAATTAGGGGTTAGGGTTAGGGTTCAGGCTTAAGGTTAGGGGTTAGGGTTATGGGTGAGGGTGTAGGGTTGAGATTAAGTTAAAATTAGGGTTAGGATTAGGGGGTAAGTCCGGTTTAGGGTTTTAGGGTAAGGTAAGGGGTAGGATTAGGGGGTCGGGTGGGGGGCAGGGTAGAGGTTAGGGTTATGGTAGGAGTTAGGGTAGGGTTGAGGGGTTAGGCTTAGGGCTTAGGGCTGATATTAGGGATTAGGGTTACGGTTAGGGGTTAGGGTAGAGTTTAGGGGTTAGGGTTAAGGCATAGGGTTGGGTTTCAAGATTAGGGTCAGGGTTAGGGGTGTGGGTAGGGTTAGTGGTTAGGTTTGGGTTAGGGTCTAGGGTAGGAGTTAGGGTTAAGGTTAGGGGTTAGGGTAGGGGTTAGGGCAGGGCTGGAGGTTGGGGTCGGGGTTTAGGGGGGTGGATCAGGGCTTAGGATAAGGGTTAGGGATTCGGGTCAGGGGTAGGGGTTCGAGTAGGGTTAGGGGTTAGGGTTAGTTCTTAGGGTAAGGGTCAGGGATTAGGGTTAGGTGTAGGTGCCAGGGTTAGGGGAACGGGGTATGGTTCGGGTTAGGGGTAGGGGTTAGGGTTAGGGTTAGAGTAGGGTCAGGATCAGGGTTAGGCTTGGGGTTAGGGTTCGGGTAGGGGTTTAGGTTTAGGGTCAGGGCTTAGGGTAGGGGCTGGTGTGGGGATTAGGGTTTCAATTAGGGGTTAGGATCGGGGTTTTGGTAGATGTTAAGGTTAGGCGTAGGGTAGGGGTTCGGGTTAGGCGTGGGGGGTTGGGTTAGGGGTTAGGGGTTAGGGCAGGGGTTAGTTTGAGGGTTAGGTGTGGCAGGGATCGGGGTCCGGAGCCAGGGGGCGGCGTGGCGAAAGGGGAGGAAGGGGGGGGGTCGAATTTCACGCTCAAAGGGGGGGGGGTCCGGACGTCCGTTCCCCCCCACCCTGTTTGAAAGGAGCTGGGGGGTCCGCTGGCGACGGATCGGAAATCGAAGGGGGGGGGGGGGGTTCGCCGACGATGGAGCGGGAAGGGGGAGGGGGTCCACCGACGACGGATCGGGGAAGGGGGGGGCGGGGGGAGGGTCCGGGACCCCCCCCCCTTGGGGCCATCCAGCGGCGCGCTCTCCTTTCAGGGCCCCGCAGGGCATCTTCCCCCGCCCCAGTTGTCGCCTCCCCATGCCTTCCCGCTCCGCGTAAGTTCACAGCTTTCCGTGTCTTCTCTGCTGCAGCTCCTGGGAAGCTGCGTTCAGCCCAGGCGCTGAGATGTCCGCGACCGAACGCGAGCTGAGCGCGGCCCCATGCCCCCTGATTCGAGTGTGGCTGGAAGTGCCCCTGGCCCAAGGTGGCCCCCACAATTCGGCGGCGAGCGAGGGGGGAAGTGTAAATGAGAAGGGTTTCTCAGCAGGCGGCGGCGCTTCCCAT